GGCTTAGGATATCCTTCAGATATACATTTTGGTATTGCAGCCACTCTTCACTTTCTTGGTGTTGTGCTGGCTGAGCACGGAGATGTGAAGCAGGCCATCCAGTACTTGGAAGAGTCTTTGCAGGAACAACGGGCGTATCTTTCTCCTGAGGATGTTGATCAGCATGTTTGGGCCCCGACGTTAGACCAGCTTGGTGTGGCGACCGCCATGTCTGGAGACGTGAAGCAGGCCCTGGAGTATTTGAATGAGTCTTTACAGATGAAGCATGCTATATATGGCGACCACGCCCATCCCGGAACTGCAGCAACGTTGCACAAACTTGCTGCAGTGTCCAAGGAAAAAGGAGATTTGAAGGAGGCGCTCCTGTATTTGCAAGACTGCTTGAAAACGCTGCATTCCTTGTATGGAAACTCGGAACATCCTGACATCGCAAGCAGTTTGCATTTACTTGGTGACGTCAGTGCAGAGACAGGGGATTTAAGGTATGCCCTGCATTGCTTAGAAGAATCTAGACGAATGCAGCTGGCATTGCCAGGAGGTGGCAAAACGCCTGGACTTGCAGCCACTTTGCATCGGCTTGGTACTGTCACTTCCATGAAGGGTGGTTTGGGAGAGGCCATGCAGCTTCTTGATCAATCTTTGCAGATGCAGCAATCCTTGCATGGAGACACTGAACATCGCGGAATTGCAGCCACTTTGCACGCACTTGGTGCTGTGAGTTCGGACCGTGGTGATTTGAAGCGTGCCATGCAGTTCTTGCAAGAAGAAGCCCGGGTAGAGCGCTCTTTGAATGGTGATAGTAGCAATCCAGGAATTGCACTGGCATTGTACCAGCTGGGCACAGTAAAACTTCAGGCAGGTGATTTGAAAGAGGCTTTTCAGAACTTGCAAGAATCTCTCCATTTACAGTGGTCGTTGAGTGACCGCGGCAATCCCGGGATTGCCTCCACTTTGCAGCAGCTTGGTGCTGTGACAGCGGAGGCAGGAGATTTGAAGCAAGCGGTGCAATACCTAGAGCAGGCCTTGATAATGCAACGGTCATTCTTCGAGCGTGGCAATCCAGGAATTGCTGCCTCTCTTCACCGTTTAGGTGCTGTCACTGCTCAGACGGGAGATTTCAAGCAGGCCCTCATATACCTGCAGGAATCTTTACAAATGCGCCAGTCATTGAATTCTCAAAGTCTTGATCCTGGTATTGCAGCCACTTTGCACCAGCTTGGTGTTGTAACCACCATGACCGGAGACTTGCGAAAAGGCGTGGAGTACTTCAATGATTCCTTGCAGGTGACACAGAGGTTCCATGAAGGAGATCACCCTCAAGCTGCAGCCACTTTGAGTGAACTTGGTGCTGTGACCGGCCAGAAAGGGGACTTGAAGCAAGCTTTGCAGTACTTGAGAGACTCCTTGAAAATGCAGCGGTCCTTGTATGGTGATGTCGATCATCCTGGCATTGCATCCACTCTGCACCAGCTTGGTGCAGCAGTAGGGGAGAAAGGAGATATCAAGCAGGGGTTGCAGTTGTTGAAAGAATCTTTGGCAATGCAACGTGCTCTTTATGGCATCGGTGACAACTCCGGAGTAGCTGTTACACTGCATATGCTTGGCTACCTGATGGTGGAGGCCGGAGATTTCCATGAAGCCCAGCAGTACCTCCAACGGTCATTTCTAATGCATCGGTCTCTTGCTGGTGATGGCTACAGTGTGGAAATCCAGATCGTTTTGGAGGAGCTAGCTCACGTTCTTGCACACAGAGGTGACGCCTTTCTGCAGAGTGCCTTGCTCAACCCCGACTTTGCTTTTGCACAGGACTGACGGTTGGCTTCCGGTGGAATGTCGCATAAGCGACGATTAGAAAGACATACATATATATATATATTGCTGCATATAACGAGCTCATCCTGCGACTTGTTTGGAAGGCAATTTGTTTTGCGATGATGCTCTCATGGAGGAAATACATGAATCATATCGAATCATCATGAAGCCTTGTTAGTGAGTCAGAGTTTACCTAGGGCCGAGCAAGGACCGAAATGTCTGGGTGTTTATCACGATCATGTTTTCATCATCATGAAGCCATGAAGAGGAAACTAGTCGACTTGCTCACATGGCAAGTGGAGTCAACCGCTTGGACCGGGCTTGGAGGAAACTAGTCCTACCAGTCATCACTCTATGGGACAATCCAGTTTAGCTCATAGGATGCAAGGAACAGCAGACCTGGACCCAGGAGGGGGGGGTACATAGATGGCCTCTTAGCCATCCTTAGGAGTCATTAATCAATGGTCAAGTCAAGTCTTAGAGTGTCCCGGTACAATCTGGTATCTATATTGCTATACGATGGTATACAAATCCTTTATTTTCCTAGGTATAGATTGAACTCTTTGAACACCTTGTTTCCAAAGCTTTTGCAAGTTGCAAAGTGCCAAAAAGGCTCGCTGCGGGTGTATGTATATCATTGTATATCTATATAGAATATATTAGAATATAGTTTTCGAGGACTTAAAATCAGACACCGATCAGAGATGCTGTGCGCAAATGCACTTAGAATATGAGCGCAGATACAATATACGGGCACTGTGTTTACAAGACAAGAACCACAAGAATAAACTGATACTGTACCGCACAAAAACAAACAAGCAAGCATTGCTCGATCCACATCATCCAGAAGCAGCAACAGCAACAATCACAACGGCAAACACAACTGCATACAGTAGGGTATGCACACCCATGAGACTAACAAGTGTTTGGAATACGGCGGCTCATGGGGACGCTGTGCTTCAAAGACTTGTTAGCTGATCTTGAATATCTTGCATTAATAACTTGACCGCGGCTTATTTGCATGCAGCGATCTGGGCAAGCATGCAAACACACATCATATCTCCTCGAACATGTTGCTTGTTAGAGGTTTCAGCAATTGAAACCTACTGTATTGTATATTCATAGGCTATGTAAATGCAGATGGGGAGACTTAGAAGTTTCCAATTGTCCGTACGTCCACAGCTACAGTACAACCCATATGGAAGATATCATCCACATTCATGGACACACACACACACCACTTCTCTTTAAACATTTTGCGTGCTAGAAGTTGAAGCCTGCTGTATTGAATATTATACAATTTGCTATGCAAATGCAGATGGAGAGACTGCAGACAGAGTATATTTCCAACGGTCCGTACTTCCACAGCTACAAGACAAACCAAACTGAAGAGATCATTCGCATTTATCACCCACACCATTTCTCTTTAAATATGTTGCTTGTTGGAGGTTGAAACCTACTGTAGTGTATATTAGTTGGCTACTTAAGTGCAGATGGAGAGACTGCAGTGAGAATATATTCCAACGGTCCTTACTTCCACAGCTACAATACAAACTTCGCATTTATTGACACATCATACCTCTTTAAATATGTTGCCTATTCGAGTTTGCAGCCGAAGCCTACTGTATTGTATATTTATTTGCTTTGGAACAACAGCAGATGGAGAGACTACAGTTAGAATATGTTTCCAACGGTCCGTACTTACACAACTACAAGACACCAAACAAAAGAAATCATTCACATGTATTGCGCCCTGAATTCATTCACTTTGGCGGGATCCATGGCCATGGCTCTGAGTGAAGAGTTGGCTCTTGAGATGTGGCGTAGGCCGTAGGCCTTTGGTGAGGGCCTTGGAGCGAGAACTGCTTGGGAAGTATACAGACCCTACAAAGAGAGAAAGAAGAAGAATAAGAAGAAAGGAGATTGAAATTGAGAAAACAGATGTTGTTGGAGTGCGGCAGCTCTTGGCGACGCTGTTCTTCAACAAACGTGAGTTTCGCATCGCCGTTTTTCTTTGCGGCATGGACCATGTCACAAGAATCGCAACAACGCACATAGAGTACAAAGCAAGACTTTACACGGCAACAAAGCAGAATACAGTAAGCAAACCAGCGAGCAAGCGCTTCTCGGTCCACATCATCGAGAACTGCAGCAACAGCAACAATCATAACGACATACTTCCTCAATGGTTTCTTAGATATTCATAACCTATCTGTGCTCTAATTGAAACTACTTGTTCCATATTCTATTTCAAGTTCTTTCATACTAAACTCTATATATTTCAATGAATCCATAGTCTAACTGATGTTCCCCAACTGTATATGGTCGCGCGACTTGTGAAATTCCAAGTGTGACTACATTTGCTTTTCTGGGTTTGCGATTGTGACGAAAGCATTGCTCTTTGTCAGGATGATCAACGCTACCTCCTCGACTGCTACGCGGACTTTACCAAGGAGCTGGATCTTGCAGAGGACAGCGACCAGCGGGAGCTGCAATCCAGCCCCAGTGGCTTGATCGGTGCGGATTTGGACAACTCAGCTCCGCTTCGGCAAAAACCACTTGCCAATGAAGAGGATCGAGCCCAGCAGGAGAAGCGCGTGGCTCCGGATGGCAAGCGTTATACACGAAGGGAGTTCATCGAATACTATGGGCCTGTGGTCGGATCCAACTACTGGACAGATGCCAAACGTGCCTGCACATATTGTGCCACCTTTAAGCTTGTGGACAACGAGTTTCACAATTATCCCAGCATGTGCGCCACCTTTGGAGCAGACAGGGCCAAGGTGCTTTGGAAAAATTCGCGCCCACAGTTGCCGAGGAACATGACAGAAGTGGCTGAGCTCTACCAGCGGATTCCAAGTGAGTGTGATCATGACAACCAACAATGCCCTTACAGGAGTTGTGATGGGCCTCGTTGCCTTCACTTCCAACATGACTTTTGCTCGCGAGGCGACAAATGCCCTTTGTGCCATTGCATTGATGACTACCCCCTCAGAGGCAGTAACAGCTCCATACCTTTTGGTAGGGCGCGTAACCAAGGGGAGCGCACGGGTTTGATGATCGCTTTGCAGGAGGCACTGGCTGGAAAGAACTCCGGGTATGTCAGGGTCAGTGAGCTCATTGCAGCACAGGCTGATGTGAATGAGACATACCACTCTCCAAACTTGGGCTTACAAAGTCCGTTGACCATGGCCGTGCTAAGCAACCAAGCCAGACTTACGACAATGCTATGCCGGGCAAAAGCAGATGTTGCTTGCCGGGTGGGGGAATCTCCAAGTCCAATTCGTTTGGCGCATGGGAGGCGCATGGTGGGCTCACTCGAAGCCATGGCATGTTTTCCTGAGTGCTATCGCGCGGAAGACTTGACCCCTGAGATTGTCAGGCTGCTGGTAAGAGTCCAGACAGACATCAATTGGGCAGATCAGAGCGGCCAAACAGCCCTGCACTGCCATGCTGCTGCCGGACGCTTTGAAGCGGTGAGTCTCCTGGGCCAGCACAAGGCCAGGATTGACATCAGAGACACCGGAGGCAATGCGCCCATACACTTGGTCCCTGAAATGGCAGAGGAAAGAGCACAGTGGCAGTCTCTTCTCGGGTTTGTGGTGCTTGCGAGCTTGAGCGGAGAAGAGATGGCGCTTCCCATCTCTGAGTTGAATCTTCAACAAGACTTTGTCCATTGCGTGAGGCAGTATTTGCGGGAATACTACCAACTGCAAGGTCAATCAGTGTCCTATTTTACAATTCACATGACTGATGGAGTCTCGGGCCACGCTGACAAGTGAAATATAGTGAAATATATTGAATAGAATAGAAGATAGATTCGATGTTTTGATTCCTTGAGAAGCGTCCATGAAACTGTTTTCTCTTGACGCACACTGCACACTTGAAAGTTGCTTGCCGACTGTTTGGCGCGTCGACGAGGAGAGAAGCTCTTGCAGGGTGGTTCGTGGGAAGCTTTGGGCAAGCCAGAGCGCGTGACAATCACCCTTGGAAACTTTGCCGCGCAGAGCCGAGAGACAGAGGATCAGACGAGGGAGTTTTTGAAGCTGGCAGGGCAGGAAGGTGCCGATGCTGATCAAGTGATTCGAGGCAGGACTGCTAGGTGATAATAGTGATGTCCCATGTCACAAAGAACAGCAGCCAACAGAAAGCACGTGGGTCTGTTCGAGCCCAGTGATCGTTGTTGAAGATGCCTACTCCTGCAGTCTGCAGTACACATGTATTAGGATGTGTTTACGGTGTGCATCACAGCCACAATGCCACACCAGCCTCAGGTCACTTGCACAACTTTCAAGATCCGAATGTGACAGATGATCGAGGCGAGACCGCAGCCTTTAAGGCCAGTAGGAACTGTGACCTGCCAAAGCTGGAGATTTTGGAATTGGGATGCGCCGACTTTAACAAGGCAGACGCTGGACCGAAGCAAAGTGAGTTGAGCGTTTAATAAGCGCACGACAATCTCCCAACCAACCGGTGTTCATCTAATCCTTTCAAAAGGTAAAGAAGCGTTCCCTAGGTGAAGCAGAGTTGGCAGCACAGTGAAGCCCGCCCCAAATCCGTTTTGTTGGAATGTTTTGTTGCTTTTACCTGTTCAGCTAACAGGCGGATTTGGCAACCGTCAGGAGGGTTCTGTGGTGTGATTTGCAAATGCAACGAAGCGCATACCTGGTTGACCTGGGTTCTGGTGTCGGGTCTTCGGTAAATGGACCTATGGATCTTTGATATACACTGGATGATCCGTCACTTCCTGCGCTGACTCCTCAAAGTTTTTCGCCATTCCAAAGATGCATTGAAGGCACGACCACGGGTAGCTTAAATGTTGCAGCTTGGGCTCCCACATTCTGGCCTTTCCATATGCGCCTGCTGTCAAAACAAGCACTATCCTCGTCCTGGCCACTTTTATGCGCGTGAACTGGCTTCACGAAACCCATGATCTAAGTCTAGGTGTCTGACCTCCTCTCTTCTCTCTCAGAGATTCTGAAGGAGTTCCTCCCAACCGGGATACCTGGTAGACGTCCTTGGTAAGAGCTACAGTGTGTGAGTATCGTGTGATTGCGCTGCAGTCAACTCATAGCGGGGTATGTATTGATGTACTGAGTCCATGCAACACTGTCCAGCGTACACAGAAGCGTGTGTGTACACCGCCAGGATGGAGCTTAGCGCCCCCCATGCTGACTGGGTTGTGTAAAGCTGCGTCGCAAACAAATCGGAACATCTAAAGCTGTAAAGCATTCGATCTCGGAACTATTGTGGATCTCAGCAGAACTGTTCACACTTTTTCTTCAGCCGCCTTAACGCTTCCCACTCAAGCGGTCTCCAAACAAGATCCGAAGCAACATCAAAATCCAACACTGACCTCTGTTCCCATCGACAGAGAAAAGCATGAACTGACAAAGCGTGACAAAGCTTTTCTTTCACACGCGCAAGCCGCTCTGCATCGGAATTTTTGTGGGCTGTCAACGCTGGGAAACTCAACGCAACGCAACATCGCCGCGCACTAACCACATAATCACTCAGTGAAGCGCAGGGTTGTCCTGCCAGAGCTTCAACCCTTCATCCTCTTTCTTGCGCATCGGCTACTGCTTCTTGGTCAATAACGTACATGGATGGTTCTTCTGACTTTACCTCTACCTGCAATGGGCTCATCATCTCTAGATCGAAGGGGCATGGCTGCGCGCTGACACGCAATGACAAAGCATGATTGTATAACCGAAATTCAGAGTTCCGGAACTACGCAAAAGTCTGGAGCTCGAATTTCTTTGGTGATATGGCCACTTGTTGGCTTGACCATTTCTCACAGCTGTCCACCTGTCTTCTGGCCAAACTGATTCACATGGGGCCTCAACCTGTCACATGACCTCAACGTCTGGAACGTATAATCGGAATGTCTAGCTCAGCAAATATCGCATGGGAGAAACATATATACTTAGGAAACATCTGCTCGCGACGACCGAACACGATGCCTGGCGCACGCTGCGCGCGATTGACGGCCTCGAATGGGGAAACAACAGCAAGACTGACTCAAAGAAACTGCGCGAACTTAGTAACTACACTCTGCTCTGGTTGTCCATACTACCGTTCTTTTCACAATCAAGTGGCAACTCCCACGGGATTGCCGTCGCGTCAATGTCAAACTCACCAGGCAACCCTCTCCGAGCGATCGTTCCTTGGTAGCGAATCCCTTCACGCAAAAAGCTTACGCCAACGTGTCACAATTATTGCTGCTGCGTTCCCATTCCATTCCGCCTCTTCGGGCCTGACCTTCTTCTTACGCATGGAACTCTCTTCTCCCCCCGTCGCTTCAACTCTTCTTGCCGTTCAAAGAACAATCGTGCAAACAACGGAGCACTTACTCCACAACCGTTCGTCCTTCCCTATATAGGCTGCAGTCCTCGATGTCCACGCGCGAACACCTGAATCTGTGACAGACATCGACCTATGTACATAGCTTGCGACGGGAAGAGCGCCTGCACTTGATCACGCCCATACTTCCTCCACTGCTACTTGCGTTGACCGATATCGGAAACCGCGCCATCCATATCAATGTGTATACGACCACGCGCGATGATGCTTGGCAAGCCGCTGCTCTGCTCCGGGAACTAAAAGCAGCCGAAGACTCTGACCGTGACCGAATTGCTCATCTGACCTGTTTTATTTCGATATGCCTGCTTGAACATGTCTGACGCAAGCCTTTCTTTTTGAACTTGACGTTTCCAACCCAGGCTTATCAGAGGGCGTGCCGCTGGCGACTCGAAAACATTGTGTACATATATAGCTTTGCGGTCAGGCCGCGCCATGATTTTTATGTTGGCTTTTAACACGACACACCCCACAAAGTGAAGCTTGACCTACAGAAAGGTCGGCTTGCCCAGCTGAGTACAGGCTCAGCATTCACGATTTGGCCGTTTCGCTAAACATTCTTTGCGCAGCTTGAGGTGGGGCATGTGTATCAAAAAGAAATTAATTACTAAATCAAAAAATAACTATTTACGTAATCAACAACAAATTAATTAACTAATCAAGAAATAACTATTTTCCTTTCCCGTCTCTTGTATGCTTGCTCCTGGTCCACATGGTCGTCCTGGTCCCCTTGGTCCCCTGGTCCCCTTGGTCCCCTGGTCCCCTTGGTCCTCTGGTCCCCTTGGTCCCCTGGTCCCCTTGGTCCCTGGTCACCTCGTCGAAGGGAAGGGAAGGGAAGGAAGAAAAGAAGGGATCCAGGTAGGAGGCCGGCGCCTCGTCTGTACACGCGAAAAGTGACTCATCTGTACACGCGAATGATATACCTCGTCTGTACACGGGGATGCGCTGCTTCAAACTCACTCTCGCTCTCACTCTCACTCACTCACTCTCACTCACTCACTCTCACTCACTCACTCTCACTCACTCACTCTCTCACTCACTCACTCTCACTCACTCTCACTCACTTTCACTCACTCTCACTCACTCACTCACTCACTCACTCACCCTTTTGTCCTTTTGTGGGCAGGGTGAAATTTCGAGAAGGAAGTGGCTATGCCAAGTTCACTCACCCTTTTGTGGGCCATGC